GTTAAGCCGTTGGTCCCGGCTGCATTTGCAGTCGTTAATACCCTCCAATCCGCATTGGGCCAGCGAGGAGGGTCATGGCCCATCCTCCTTAACCATCCATAAGGAAGGCCTGAGCCCCTGCAATGGGGACGATAATGGGCTGGTGATGATGATGATGATGATGACTCTCTTCCGTGTGTTTGGCTTTTAAGCACCTTAGTTTTAACATCGTTTCTTTATTTATATTTTTAACCCTTTCAATGTTGGTTAACAAATATTACGAAAAATTATTTCTTAAAATTTTCTTCCTTTCCTAACTATAACCTATTATTATTATATTTAGTCAACCTTGCATTAACAATGCAATACTAATATACTTAATGATAAGTCCTTCAAAAAATCACCAGCCCCTTGTACCCCGAGGTAGGAATCGACCTCACAACATTTCACGATTCAGGCGACTACTTAATGATTACATTGAACTACTCGAAATACAAGAGGACTGACGGGTACTTGGCATGGAAAGGGAACTGACTGGTGAATACTATGTATGCAGATACTCACCCACTGCTTTCGACTAATCAACAAAAATTGTTTAGCCATATATTTATAGCAAAAGTCCATATTACTCCAAATATCCATTTTCACAATTTACATAAAAATATATTAATTGATGCAAAAAACATGTAAAAATAACAGTAAAAGCCACAACCCAAAACCCAGTTAGATTATCATACTATTAAAAATATCGATGAATATTCAATTAGTTTGCGTCGATGAATTTTTATACAAAATTCATAAATCTTGCTCTATATCCAATAATAAAAAACATATATTGCATATTTACCAAATCATAATGTACAAACACATTATATCTATGACATAAAAAAGGAATTAATAATGCATACTTGAAGAGATGACGCCATATTTTCTTTAAATAACAAATAATATAGAGATTCATATATAATAACAGTGACATTAAACAGGGAGATCCCTTTACCTGATACAATTTATTAACATGATTAAAATGGTAACCGATCTTATTTTAAAGGGCATGTCCTTGAAAGTGGCCGACAATTATGCATCTTAAAAAATACTTGAAAAGAAGTGTGTGTACCTATAAATAATTATATATATAGGTACACACACTTCTACTGGGGATATGATTATGCATCATATCCCATAAAATAGCACTATTTTGTTAGAATAAAAAAGGACGTATATGGCGCAGCCAAGTGGTGTAATAAGCCGAACAATTGGGCGAGGAGGGCTTTAATTGAATGGCGACATAAGTTGAACGCAACGTTTTTCAATAGGCTGAACAAAGATTAGCTAACTAATTAACTGTCAATTCATCGGGAATATCACAATTAATTCATAGGACAAATTAAATTTTGCAGTAAGGATAGGCGTTGAAACAAATTGGGTATGAACTGATTGACTAGTTTACGGTCTACTGATAAATTGATTTATGCGTGAACGTAAGATACAAACGTTGCGTGACGTCAGACACCGCACGAACAGTCTGCGAGGGGACAATATTTCTGTATGTTCTTCGCGACCAATAGCTTCCGTCTGTCACACTTGCACGATTACGTAAAAAAAATAAAACTAATCTTAAATGTAAGGGTATATAGTTGCTAGTAAATTACTTTTCTGGGATAAATACACATTGGAACTTTGTAATCAAAATGACAATTCAGATTTTGATTTTAATGCGGATGGTGTTGGTAAAAGTCAAATTTTAGAAGTAGCATACTACTTATTAATTTTCTTCAATTGTGTTATCAACAGTTTGAATAATTTTCTGTATAAAGGCAAATAACTATCTCAATTTGTAGATTAGGTATTTGTTAATAAACAATTCTGAACTTTAACAATAATAAGATTGAAAAAGGTATGAAAAAAAATAATTTTCACCGTCTACAAACTTACTGAACCGTTGTCTGGTCGACGACAACAACGTTGTCTAAACAGTTTATTCTGAAAACCAGTCCATGAACTGTGTCAACTAAATTAGTTTCTTCGACACAATTTCTTGTTCCGTTCAGTCCATCTACGACATGAACTAGTCGAAAAAAACCTTTTTGGAGAATATTTTACGATGAAAGATAAACAATCGACGACCCACCCCTATTTTGTAGTGGTTGCTTTTAATTAAAACTCTAAAACTCTTTGTTACAATCTGTAATCGATACAGATACAGTACTGATCAAAAATATATACTCTTGCTTATTGGCGACCGGCTGTTAATGGTTCGTATGATCCAAACCATTAAGGTACAGTACAGACCCTTTACGCAAGTGGGTCGAGCTTCAACTTCATAATATAATTTTAATACTAATATAATTATACAAAGACAGGATATACCCAAATTCAGACGGCCACAGCGCTATTTATCGAAAATGAGAGTAAGCAACGTACTGCTATGTTTATTACAATTTCGAAGTTTGGTGCTACAATAGTTAAAACAACATAAAATGATAAACGACTAAGTTATTTTGGTCCTGTAGGTCACGTAATAGGTAAGAAATATAAGACGTAGCAAACGTCGTCGCTTTCGACGAAAGCAAGCAAAGCAAAGCAAGGAGTAAGGTATAGAAAAAATACAAATATTGAAAAACACAAAAACTTGAATCTTTATAAAATAAGAACGATAGTTACTAAAACCACAAACCACATGGTGGCATATGTCACCGTGGTCAGCAACCAATCCATGACCTGAGATGACAACACCATGAAACCGCTATTGCAAACCACTCAACCAATGAGATCAAGTTCAAGTACATTTTAATCGATTTAAAAATCGAAGAGATCAGCGTTTCGAATCTGATTTTATAAAATAAATATCCATTTTTTATAATAACATATCGCATACCCTGTCAATATAAGTATCAATATCAATTAATGACAGTGTTTGACGATCAGGAAGTACATCCTTCATAGGTTTGCTTTTTTTCTGTATAATATGAATTTGGACTAATACTAAAATTGCAATTTTAGCGTAAATTTACTCTGACGCTAAAACCTTGTTTATTAATAGCACTGATAAAATATCTTGCATTAATATTGTTATTTTCAATTATGTTTTGTGTTCAATAATGTTAATGGATTCAATTGCTACTCATACTATATTTAGAAACCATGCAGTTAATACCGTATCTAATGGATAATGTAAGATTATAATAAACCATAGACTTATTATATGTCTATATAATAAACTAGTGTCCTTAAGTAATAAACCTACATTTTATTCTTAATTTCATCGTAATCACCATCAACGTCAAACTAATAGTTGCCGAACTAATTTTGAACTAACTTTAAGAAAAAGAGGTTCTAAATGGGACTGTGTGTTTTTTTGTAAATAACGTCACAATATTTTAGTAAATGACCAATTCTTATATATCTGTCTCTCCCCTTCAAAAAAAAATATTCTGATATAAAAAGAAACTAAAACTGATTTCATAAAAACGAAAAATAATTCTTGAAACCGACAAACCCAAGTTACAAGTTCAATTAACTTCATTTGACTTCGAACGTGGAATTGTTGGCCATGTTGTGAATCTCCCGACTTCCAAACTAACCAAAACCACTAAAAAAAATATACTAAAAAGCATCATATCATGCATTTTGGCGCTTATTAAATGATTTTAAGGGCGCATTTGTATTAATTTATTTTCCAAATAAATAATTTCCTAACTGGGGCCACGGTTCTGACTTATGACCCGCCAAACAAAGCACTAGAACGCTACCTGCCTTTTCTTCGCACATCGTCGTTTTTTGACCGAAAATAAACAAAAATCTCGGAATAACATTATATCAATAATGGGTTTATTATACTTTTGTACAGTGTTACTGGCATAGCTCTTATACTTTAGATGTTATCTATAACACCCCGATTTCGTCACTAACTCACCAATGATTATCAAAACCCTTAGGGTACCTACTAAAATCCTACAAAGCTGAAGTTTCGGGGTATAAGTATTAGTACTACTAAGAAAATTTCTAAAACTTTTACACCCTTAAACCCGGGAGTCTAATCTTAAGCTCTGTGAGACTGACAAAAATTTTGATTCGAAATAACTTAGATAGGAAATAACTTTTAAAACCAATTATACAAACGTCCATTAAAATTTTCATTAGTTTTAATCGACATTACCCACACAAATTTGACATTCATAAGAGCTTAAAGAAATCATTGAACCTTAATGGACGTTTGTGCAACAGACCGATAGAGATCGTAATATCTTAAAGAGTATATATGAATTTTTAGCACTTGGTCGATTGAATCATCTTTAAATTAGATGCTTAGATTCATGAAAATATTTTTACGCTACTAGATACCATTTAAATATTTAAAAATTTCCATATATTGTTTCTTCAATAAGTAATATCACAATTTTTTACTTTTAATATTGATCGTATAGTAAATTGCTGTTTACTTATGTTTTAAATATTCCACCAAGAAAATAGTTCATGCGTAAGTGCTAATTAAAAACCTAAACTTTAAAAACCCCAGTAATATAGAAAATTTTATAAAATTAAGTGGGTTTTTCTAATAGTAAATTAAAAACAAAGTCGAGATGGTAAACATTTATATTTAGCATGATTTGTCAATATATCGAATTACCAAAAACATCAATCGTAGCTTTATTCCTATAATGAGCTTTACCTTTACGAACCGAAGGATTATTATTGTTCACACTCAAAAATATTCTAGGGAACCAAGCAGCTCTTAATAAAGACATTCGCAGTTTTCCGCGGTTCCCGACTCGGCGACATATTGTCGATTTAAATATATTGTCAGCATTTGTTAATTTGTTTTCCATTACAATTTGTCAAGGATGAGAACCTAGGAACTGAAACTGCTTCCTACTATAGACTCAAATTAATCAATTGCATGGGTACGTGTGACGGAACATTTGCGATTTACCGTAAATCCGGCTTTAGAAATGGCTATTCACGACATCATTTATAGACGTCAAAATTTTGTGTTTTATACATAGTAGTGTTACAACGTCGAGATGTGCGGGCGATATTACTTAAGAATGTACAGTATTCTGACGTGAGAGTTTACGTTTTGTAAATAAAAAAAAAACACGCAAAATTGGCGCGTTCATAGGTTATTTACCCACACGACGGAAAGGCTCGCATCGTGTCAAGTATAAATACGTCTCATTTTCGAAAACTTACCACATTGCTCTTTCGAAATCGAGACAATGAACACTGTGAGTAACATATTTTGTTTAAATAAATATTTTCTAAAATAACTAAACATGAATGAAAAAAATATAATTTAAATAAGATTAAATAAAAAAATTCATTTTAACATCTTTCTATTTTAAATATAGCGAGTGTTGGTTATTAAGTGAAGGAATCATTTTTTTTTTTACCAAATAGTAATTTCACCTTTTGTTTTTTATACTGTAATAATATTAGCGATGATTATTATATTTGTTATTATTTTTTTATTCACAATACTATACTGGAAAATATTTAAAATGTTTTTTTAAGCCATTTTTCATTAAGAATATTAACGATGATGTTTATAAAGTTTATAAAGTTTTTAATGTATTATAATTAAATTAATTTAAACATATGAATATTTTTCAATTTGAGGATTTAATCTAAAAAGAAAACAATGAAATTATCAGTAATTATTAATAATTTAAATGTTCTCTTATTTCACAGTTAACGTGCGTTTGTTTGCTAATGTGCGTGGGAGTAGCATTCTCCGCTACTCTTCCCGGTAGTGAAATAATAAGAGATGAACCCAACACGGCAGTAGAAGTAGAACAGAAAGAAAGCTTGGAGCCACAGGAGTCCCATTGGAGAGGAGGATGGGGCGGATGGGGCGGTCACCATAGACACGGCTACGGAGGATACGGCGGTTACGGCGGATATGGAGGTTTCGGTGGATGGGGTGGTGGTTTCGGTGGGGGATACGGCGGATACGGTGGATACGGTGGTTACGGCGGTTGGGGTGGACGCGGTTTCGGAGGGGGATGGGGTGGATACGGCTGGGGACGCTAATTACCAACCGTCTCGTCTACCTGTGAACTTCGTGTGAAGTGTACAGTTTTTATGCAACGACTCAACAGCGTCGGTATTAATATCTGTGATGTGAATGAACTTTTAATTGAAAATAGTTACTTGCCTACTTAATTAAATAATTAAAACAAAAGTTGTACTTTCATTTCTTTTCTATTTTTATTTTTTAAGAAATTTTGTTGTCAATGATTCGAATGTAGCCAAAGCCCATGGCTTAAATTAAAAATGTATTATCTCGAACTCCTCCGTGTTTGGCACGGAATGGTCAACAGTTGGTCCTGACCGCATATGCAGTCGTTAACACCCACCAATCCGCACTGGGCCCGCGTGGTGGGTCATTATCCATTCTCCCAATTCGATTCGATTCCATCCATAGGGAAGTCCTATGCCCCAACAATGGGAATATTGATAGGCTGAAAATCATGATAGCGCAGAGTTAAATGCGTTCTCTCTGCAAGGGTGGATACACCGTTATGGGCGTGATGATTATACCCACAACCCTAATATAGTTGTGATGACACATTATCGTGGTCCACTGTCCACTGGATTTATACACTTTATAAAATATTGATCACGTTGTTCTACATTTTGGCGAGAATGCACTATTTTGAGCAGACTAATTTCGAATGGCTGTGACCACAACTTCTTATATGGTCCGGATCCACCCCTGTCTATCAGTAACCGGAATTCGCAATGACCGGTCATCAGGTCGTTGACCAAAAATTTATTTCTGTACATATAATACATTGAAAATTAGGAAAATAAAAATGAATACTTTGTTCTGCCAATTAATAATTATCACTAATATTATAAAGAAGAAAGGAAAGATTGTTACCATTGAATAGGTTCCATAACTAACGACGTTACATCTTACGCAGGTAACATAGGCTATATTTAGGCTATAATATTGGTGAAAATATAAGTTTCAGAGCATTATTTTAAGGGTTTCGCACAGTCAAACTGTGCATTTTATATTCCTCTAGAGGAAAATAATTTTACCCCTAAAATAATTTTTTTTTACTTTCCTTGTTGTAATTTATATCACCTTTGTAATCGATATCTTTATACATAAAATTAACAAAAGAAAACACATAAACAGGGTCTTAAAGGCAATAATATTTTATTCACATCATGAACAAGCTATTCTAGAATTACAACTAAGTTTTAAAATTTTGATATAAAATTTATTTTCAGAGTTTTAGCATAAGACCCGACTCCTAAGCATGAAATTGCAAAAAAAAATATATTAAATAGTCAACTGTAGGTTTAATTGCTATTGAGTTTTTGATTCAAAAATATATAAAAAGAACTCTAAATATACTTATCCAAGACCGTATCTGAATATACACATACAATTTGTTTTGGTTTTGTCTTGCAATACTTAGGCTATGAAAAATGTACCTACTGTTGTGCTTAATAAAAATGTATATTAATTATTCTATAAATCAAAGATGAATACCAGTCGATTACACGCTAATTATCTATTAAGAAAATTAACATATACCGAGGCGCTCATTAGATAACATTAACAAAGGCAAGATATTATCTTAACCTGAAGTTTATTCTGAAGGCCAAGAGCAGACTTAATCCCTAAACACATTACCAGAGGCACCGAATTTAGTTGAAACGACCAAAAAAAGGACATTTCAAATTCAATGATCCCTCTAAAGTAACTTACATTAACTTATTTTTTGTTTTAATCGCACTCTCAAATTTATTTACCATAAATGACACAAACTTCTCAAGGTCATAGTTGCTGAATATGAATCATCGCGTCACAATCAAAGCTCGATGTTTGGTAAACAAAATAATAGAAAACCTGTTTCCATTTATCGTTAACAGCTTATTTAGGTCAACACTATGACAAAACGTTTTTAAAAAATATTATTCTAATACTTATGATAATTAGAGACTCATCAGGTAAAGACCAATGGCGGATTTAGATACCAGTCGACAGATTTAAGCCTTTATTGTTATTCAGCTCAAACAATATTTCATGTAAATACTTAAAAATATTATATTAATCGCTATTTTTTAATTTCTAACGTTTTGTTGTTGAATCGGATGTATGATCAGTGTATTGGATTTTTATTAGCTCATACAACTTATTATCAAACATACACAATTAACTAGCTTTCCGTCAGCGGTTTAGCCCGCGTGGTCCTCTATTGTAACAAACGAACGTTCTTCTTGAATAAGGCTATCTGTTGTGAACTTCATTATAATACATTGTGTCAGTTTTTGTTTTGTACTGTGTAAGTTTATAATAGTTTATGTGCGTCTGTAATATCTAAATATAAATATTTTTTATGTTTTGTATATCATTAACTTTCTACAATTAGGTTAAGTTTTTTAGTAGGCTTTCTACTGCTATTTCGTACAAAGACCAATCTAACTTAGATTGGGCCTCGCCCGCAGTGACAGAACATTGGCTAATTAGCCATCAATATATGTTTAATTTTAATAACCACTACTGCCCTAGGACAAAAGCCGGATATCTTAACTTGAAGCCTAGATTGTTGTATCAAAATAAAATTCCAAATGATCTGGCAGATTGAGTTTTCAGCTTCATATTGACGTAGGATCACTGATTAGTAGTTCATTCATTCGAAAATCTCTTCACTAAGATAATATTGAATTATTATTTTATATTTACAAAAACTATATTAATATCACAGAAATTCAACGTTCGTTTGCTGGCTAATGAAAAATGTCATAGAGCGCCCATAGAAAACTGAAGTATACTTCATCACCAGCAATGGAGTAGGTTGGAGAGCACATCAGCTCATTTTTGGTACATACATCTCACCGATTTGTGGTGTGGGATGAGCTCAGTTTCGATGATGTTTATTAGCTATTTAAATCACTGAATACTCTAGGGTTGCCCAAATGGTAAAAATATCGATATCGATAAAAGAGATAAATCAGTTCAAATAAATTAAACAAATCATTTTATTTATAATACACGTTAATCATAAATAGTTAAAGCAGTCGCTACCTAGAGCCAATAATACTTATTATTTCACTTAATATTGAGTAGAAATATTGGTAAAAATAATAATGCCTATAATTATTATATTAAATTTTTGAAACGCATTACTTATGGCTCTACATTTGAACATACCATATTCCCATTTCACAAAACTGTGAAGCTACAGTTAAATTAGATTAACATTGGTAGTTCTATAACACAAAGAAGACTAAATTTAGTTTTAGTCAAACGGCTTTTACCTACCTTACACTTTTTATACCTATTAATTATGTTTAACATTTCGCATCGAATTATATTAATAATAATCATAACTTATTATTAGGAATTCCGTATACACATATTTCCTTATATATAAAAAAATGCTGTACCTTTATCCCACTAAAACTCGAAAACGCCTGACCCGATTTGTCTGATTATAATTTTAAATCGTTTATCGTAGCCTAGTGAAGATTGAATCAGTGGAAGATGATATAAACTACACCAAGTATTCTGCAGACTCAATTTTATTTGAATACTATATGCATAAAACCTTGATAAAATTAATATAACTTATATTATAATCTAACATAATTCGGACCTGTCATAAAAATCCTTTTAATTGACATTGTCAAAATATTACTACGTTGTTAAATTTCATGTCAGTAAGTTAATCTTTAAGATTTCATGATTAATGGCTCATGCTCATGTAAAGCTCATGTTGCACATGTAAATATTCAATAATAAAACAAAACTTTTTGACGAATATTATATAATTCGTTTCATATATATAAATTAATCGATTCCTGTAATACTTTTTAAAAATCTATATTCGCACTTTGTCGATATATTTTGTTACGGATGTGGTTGTACAACACTCAATGAGAATCAGAAATAAATGCACTAGAATGAGACGGCATGGAAGACATCAACGCGTGCATTTCAGAAATAATAATGTGATAATATTTTTGGTTGCATTTTAATTTCAATATAAAGATAGAAAATCACTTACCTGTAATTTGATAGCCTACCCACCGTGTAACTTGAAGTCGTAGTGCACTTTCCACGCCATTTAATTGTGGAACCAGACATTTTTTCTAATTGTTTTTTAAATTTAAAACGAGAGCGTGTAACGTACTAATCTATACGAATAATTCGTCGTTTTGCACTTGAGTTATCGTATTATTTTCAAAGCACTTGTCCCCGCAGGCTCACTCCGGTCTACTACATGTCATCGGCCTATTAACGTCTGGCCTTCCCTATTGATAGAATTGAAGGGAAAATTGGCCATGACCTAGTGCAGTGGGTTTTAACGAATGCAGATTCAGCCGGACCAACGGCTTAACGCGTCTTTCAATATAATAAATTTTTGGTCACCCATCTTATGACCAGCCCTTGCGGAAGTTGCTTAATTTCCGCATCGCAAACCGAACGCGTTAACAACTGATCCATTGAGATCCTCAATTTTTATTTTCATATTTTATTACATTTGTGTAATATGCACTTATATAAAAACATCATGATAGAAACAAAATCAAACACTAATATCTATAGGTAGTCGGGTAATAGTTATTTAAGATACGAGTGCGGAAAGTAAGGTTTTACGAATAAAATCCAAATTGAAAACACGAGCGTAGCGAGGGTTTTCATTGGCACGAATTTGAAAAACCTTTTACGCCCAAGTAGCACATAAATAATATATTAACTAAAATAAGTACCGATCTATGTCCTAAAGTCATACTAACATTTTTAATCAGCACTGGTCAAGTTTCGAATCTGTTTAAATGCACTTATTTTATCTAATAATGATTAATGCCATATTATGGTTAATAAAAAAAGTATATCAATGTCAAAACTCCTATTTAAGTATTGGGTAATATAAATATAAAGCTGTTATCGTATTTCGGTGATATGGAAAACATTATATATTATATAAGCATTAATGTAATATTATTTAGTGCACTTAGTTGTATTTAGTCATTTTCTAGAAATAAAGGTTTTCTAATGGCCTATGGTTGTATCGATTTAATGCTTATCCTATATACACATTGAATAAAGAACAAGTAAAACTTTAGCTCCGATTTGTTCTTAAAGTATTCTTTAATCAAGCTCAAGCTCCTTTATCTTCTTAATCTATGCTTTTATAAAACATTAGGCTATATTTTGATCAATATTAAGTTATTTAT